ATTGAGCTGGTGCTCCAGCCAGGTATAATATTGATGAACTCTTTCAAATTTATCTTCGATACAAAATGGTTGTAAAATGGAAACCATCAAATTAAAGTACAAAACTTACACTATATAAAGGGCATCCAATTTCCAAATGTGAGTGCAATTTCCAAGCTTGTGAAATCTTTCTCAGTAAAAAACGTGACAGCTGCAGATTGCAAGGCAACCATGAAGCACATCCTTGCATGCTGTTACAGGTAAATGATCGGGATAGCTCTTGGACAACCGGCACCTGTTGAGAAAATGCAACACAAATATGGATATGCTGTTAACTGATTCTCAAATTGTGTGATTCCAATAGGGAAATATCGGGTGGTTTCACCTGCAAAAGTTGCCAAGTTGACCGGCAAATTGTGCCTGCTAAGGGGATGAAACAACCAAGCAACCATATCTCATCTCCCTTTTTGAATAACGAATGCATTAGCTGAAGCTCCATGCTTAGAGTTCTTGGCCCTTTTAGTAATGGCATGCTTATGGCTCCAGCAACAGAGCTGATTGTTCCGATGATCTTGGCTATACTCCTGAAGCTTTGGATGTTCACTTTCTCTAATCAGTAATTGACATATGTTAAGGTACGGTATTCGAGTGAAATTTAAGAAATAATTATAGACAAAAAGAGTTCAAAAGAATTTATAAAAGTTACTGTGCTAATAGATTTCTGTTGCTTTGAGATAACATAATAATTATGCAATCAAAAGTAAAAGGGATGAGATCATCCATTGTATATAGAATCATTTACTTTTTCATGATGAATGTAAACTCAGCCCTCTTTGAATTTGCATTAATCTCCTTGATAGTTACCCGACAATGTAGGCCGCCGCACAAGTAGTTGCAGGAAGTAAATTGACCATTGCACTTGCTATTGAAGATGAGGCCAAATATATATATAGGCCCTTAAAATTGAGATTCTTGTTAAATGTTACTCTGCACAAGGAATGTATAGAGGAAAAACTTAATCAATTGGATAATCAACATTAGTTTAGCTTCCACATACACACAGATACTCAAAAGAGAATAACTTACAAAATGAGCGATATTTAAAATAAGATTAATTTGATTTTACACCTCTGAACTTGTATCACTTTCTCACTTTGCGCCCTAAATTTTAATTTTGGACACTTTTCACCCTAAACTCTCATAGTTGTTCGGTTTAAGTCCAATCAATTATTATATTCGCAAAATTAATGAGATAAAGAGCGATAAAAATTAACAACAATGTACTGTTTTGTTTCGACTACGATTCCTTAGCTTTGTTGCTCATGTTCAGCACATTATCATTTATTTATATGATCTCAATTATTAATATTATTAGCAAATTAATGAGGTAAAAGATGATACAAATCAATGATAATGAAAAAAATAAAAACAAATTAATGATAATGTATTGTTTTATTTTTGCTATAATACCATGGCACCTTTTGATTACTTTTGGCACATTATCATTGATTTGTTAGATCTTCTATACAGTTAATTTTTTAAAAGTTGTTATTAACTAGATTTAAATAGGACGAACTTAAGAATTTAGCATGTAAAGTGTCTCAAATTGAGAGTTTAGGGTGTAAAGTGTTCAAAATTGAAGTTTAGAGTACAAAGTGAGAAAGTGATATAAGTTCAAAGGTGCAAAGTGGAATTTGTCCTTAAAATATCAACCTCTTCCATCCTAAAGAATATCTGCTTATTTTACTCCGGGCAACCCCAACCAAAAAAAATTTATATATATTTGTGTAAATTTTTTTTTTTTGGGTCAATCATCACTTTCTACACTGCTCTTGCTCCTACACTATAACCTATCTAAGGGAGGGTCTAGCTAGATTAGGGGGAATCAAGGGGGACTGAACCACTATCGAATCAGACGGGTGCACTACACACCCGTTTGAATTTGTAGAAACCACTTATTAGTAACAAGTGTTGGGAGACAAGGGTCGAAACTTGACCACCCAACAGCCAAAGAGGCTATAGGTTTTCGTGTAATTGATCCAGTACATAATTTATGTTTCACATTCTGAGACGAGGAGAAAGGATTTAAAATTCCTATAAATACGCCTCTGTTTAAAATGAGCCACAAGGGCCACAAGCAAAGTGGCTATAGATAGCTGACCGCGAAAACCCTTGGACTCGTTCCCTGTAACAAGGAAGCTCTAGTGATGAAGTGATTCCTGCATAGAGAAACTAACATAACCATGACAATAAGAGGCTTTTGATCTTCAAAACCCATATTTGCAATTTTGCAGATTCTACGAAAAAGTTAGACCATATGAAGACTGACGTCGGAGTACATTTTGTTGTATATAAGCTTCAAGCATGCATGTGGGTGGGCACACTTTGTACAAAATTTATTAAACTATATAATGACCAAATTTTTTTGAAGTATCTTGTCAGCAACTAATGTGCAGATGCAATACAAATGAACTTACAAGATTTATACAAAAGATGACAAAAATTGTTGTTTCTTGGTCAACGTAAGCCAGTAAAACAATTTGCCATCCATCATTGAATGATAAATATTGATAATGAATCATCTCAGGAAGGCTTTGTCAGACCAGGATCTTTTCGAAATGATCCTTATCGAACATGATCATTCGTAGAAACGAGGTTGGCTCTTATGTAGAAGTGAGCTGGAAAATGTCATTTAGTAGACTTCTAGCATGATAAGAGCACAACTGTGGTTGAATGACAAGAGTAATTTGTGTTAATAACAATGGCGCGTTTAGTATGGTTCATGCTTCATTATGCTGAGATTGGCACTTGAATCGTCAATACCTAATTTTGCGGAAAGTTTGATTAATATAATTCACATGTAAAATGTACTAATTTGGTTGAACCACAAAGTTTGAAGAGAAACTTTGAATTTACATGATGCTTTTGAGATGATACTATTTTGTGAATTTTCTAGCGACCAACTCGACTCTCCAAAAAACCAAAAAAAAAAGAAAGAAAGAAAGAGAAAAATAACTTGTACATGGTAAAAGAAAGGGATAATTTCAGAAACCTCCCCTGAGGTTTCTAACAATGTCACTGAGCTCCCCTAAGGTTCGAAAAATTACACATACCTCCCTTGTCATTTTTGTCATTTAAAATGACAATTTTACCCTTAAATATTTTAAAGAAATTCTCTTATTTGGTATGCTTATACTTAGAATGAGTTTTAAAATTATTTTTTCATTCTTTTTCCTTTTTATTCCTTTTTTTAAAAATTTTTTGCCAATAAAATTGTAGAACTACCACTAATGCCTCTAAGTTTCTACTATAACCAAATGTCGAACTAGTGATTTTTTTGACGAGGTAATTTTATATGTAATCCAATGTTTTTGCTGATCTTCGTTTTCTAGTTTTTAGTATTAAAATTAACAATAAATCAAAAAGAAATGGCCCAAAAGTACTACTAAATTATGATAATACCACTACTCCAAAAATTTATAAACTCCAAATGAATTATTTAAACATTTTCTTTTCTATCTTATAAATTTAAATTCATAATAAAATGCCATAAAAAATATCATATCATAGTAATAAAATTATATTATAGTTGTTTATCAAATAGTAAATATAGACATGAAAAATTTGGCACCTTTTCCTTATAATTATACTAAATAATCTCATAATTGTGTAGAGAAGTAATTAAAACTCATTCCACAAGAGCATTTTTGAGTATTCATTTAAAAAATTGTCCAAGTCAATATTATTTTAAGATTTTGTTACTAAAACTATCAAATCAAGGAAGGTAAGTATTATTTTTCAAACTTTAGAGGAGCTTAGTGAAATTGTCAGAAACCTCCCTTGAGGTTTCTGAAGTTATCCCTAAAAGAAATTCTCTTTGTATATAGATCCCATCAAATATCTCAAATGATTATTAGAAATTTCAAATCAAGTTGTCCCTTGCCGGGGGGATAAAGGCTAATAACACCAATGATGAATGCCTAGAACCGGAAGCGCAATTACAAAATCTCTTCTTAGAAGAGGAGTCCTGTCTTCTTCACAATATTGAACCTCATTTATGTAGAAATACAGACTTCTCCGATTTATCAGTCTTGAGAACAGGTAATTACTTACTTTCAGTTTTCTTTATCTGGGCTTGTTTCGATTTGCTTAAAGAAACCAAAATTTGTCTTGAAAAAAATTTTCATGGTTCAGGGTTCAATTCTTGTTTCTTTAGCGTAAAATTGTCATTCTAATGGCAAAAGGAAAAGGGACACTTGATTTTAGCCTTAACAGGAGATTTTTACGTGGGTTTGTGTTGCATTAATCATTGATTGGTTATGCATGCGGAAGGAGTACTGCTCAGGAGAGACAGCAGCTTTTTGCTGCATCCTTCTGTGAAATAGGCATATCTTGATCATTTGCAATTGTGGCTTTGGTTTGAAATTAGAGGAGGAGCACAAGAAACATACAGTTTTGATCCTTTTTTTTTCATTTTTTCATTTTTTTGTTTTGTTTTTTGTTGTATTATTATTTTCTGTTGTTCTTAGATTATAGGAAAGTATGAGGTATCTTCAATGTTAAGCTTTTTCACTGGGCTCTTGGAAAAAAATTTAGGGAATACTGGTGATGCATAATTTCGTGAAAAGCAGGACACTGTGGATAAAGTTATGATTTTTTTGAAACGTTTTTTGGGTTGCTTTTAGGTTATTGGGAAGCATGATACAAATTCAGATTACGGGGAAATATGAGCGAAGTTCGATCTTAAATATTTTGACTATCTTTAGGAAGTGCCATTGAGAAGTCTAGGTAATAAGAAATTGTGGTAATGTAGAATCGTGTGCTAAAAGCAGGATGGCAGTGTGTGAAGCATGGCAACTAGGCTTCATAGATGCCGATGTGTGAAACGTGGCAACTTTTATAAATGGTACGTTTAAATTCTGGTTCATTGTAGGATATGGATCTTTACACTGCATGTGTTGAACATATAATCAACATATTAAAACTTTCTGAATATTAACATGTTAATGACGCTTGAGGCATGCTTTAATGTGCTACTTGCTATCTTGTGACAAATGATGATTAATAGTCGTTGAAAGAGAGAGTTTGTGATTTTCTTTAACGTTTCTTTGTTACTTCTACAATGCAAAAATTTCCATAGACACTATATCATCATGCAATAATGGTGATGGTAACTTCTTGATTATTATGAACTTCGATGAGGGTGGAGAATGCTCAATGCCTAGATCCTGAGCTCAATGCCTAGATCCTTATGCTCATTTAGGTGGACTTCTTGTCATGTAATAGGACAAATACTAGATAATGGAGTTTTGACCATGCTAATTATTGATTCTCAGGAAAGAACTTGGAATTCTAATTGTTAAATTAACAGTATCACCGAACAACTTCTCAGTGGGGAAAATGCTGATTTGTTGGGGTGATTCTTTAAATGGCTTGATTCTCCACCCAAAAAAGAGACTACATAGTTGTTCCAAAATGGTTGTCTCTGAAAGTATGCTCAGGAATCCCAGGCCTTAACTGTACTAGGACACAGAAGGAAGAATTTTTGTGTGATTTCTGAGTTTGAAAATGATTACGGATCTGCTTTCTTGTCTGGTCAGCTTATCGTGGAAGAAAAAGGCATCTGGCTTGGTTACTTTGGTAGGAAAATTTTCTATACAATCAGAATGATTTGACTCTGATTTATGATTATAGTTGGCACTACAACGTTCTTTTGCCTAATCCCAGTAAATGATGCTTGTTTGTCTGATGTTGACCTAATAGATGAGATATTGGCCAATGGTAGTTTAATTTCTTTAGTTGTTGTTGTTGATTTTATTTAAAGTTTTTATTCAATACTTCAATTTGTGTACTAAAATATGAATTCCAAATTATTCTCCATGAGTTCAAGTGCACTTTGTCCTATGATGCATGTTCGAATAGCTGAATAATTTGTACTCTCCTGTATCTGCTTCTTGCTTTTTGGGTACATCTTTAAGTGTTTCTCTCTCTAGATGGAACCTGGAAGAGATTCTTACTTTTTCTTATTGTTCATCTTCTAAAGATATTGCAGGTAATTTATCCTACATAGTCTCGGGGAGAAAGTTATACTTTGCCTCCCTTACTTGAGGAGGCTTTTTTTTAATCCAATGACTTCGAGAAAACACATACCATCAGCACATGAAGGACGTTCTGTACCAGGTCCTGCTTTCATTCATCATGGTGCATTGCCTGCTGGCCATCGTCCGATGGAACCACTTCCTCCTCCTGAGCTTTTAGATAGTAGATTGGCTGTTCAGGCAGCGGAAATTGAGCAGCTTGCTGTGGATAATCATAGGTTGGCAGCCTCCCATGGGGCTTTGAGGCAGGATCTTGTTGCTGCTCAGCAAGAAATGCAGAAGCTTGCAGATCATATTAGAAGCATGCAGACTGAGAGTGATATCCAGATTCGTGTATTATTGGAAAAGATAGCAAAAATGGAAGTTGACATCAGAGCTGGTGAGAGTGTAAAGAAGGACTTGCAGCAAGCACATTCTGAGGCACGGAGCCTGGCATTAGCTAGAAAAGAGCTGACTGCTCAAATACAAAAGGCCAGTCAGGAGCTGGAGAAAGCCCGTGCTGATGTCAAAAAATTACCGGAAATGAATACTGAACTCGATAGTTTAAGGAAAGAACATCAAAGGTTACGGTGAGTGGAGTCAACTGTTCATATTGTTTTAATATCATCTTTTTGATGAGATGAAACATTCACTTCTGAGCTTTTCTTTACGTGTTATGGACTAAGAAATCCTTGATGCTATGTTTTGTGGTAAAGCTTAATTTCAGTTCGAAACGTGATTTATCCTTGTTAGTAACAGGAAAAGTGTGGAAACAATCACTTGTGCTTTTCACCCTGCATCTCTTTTTAGATTTGGAAACTGTTGCTTTGCGCTTGATATGTGTGTGTTTTATAAATAATTTTCTGGTGAACAGGAAAGTAATGTTGCTTCTGATTACTACATATTGGGCTTTCTTATTCTGGTCGGTATCACCCATTAACTGATATTAGTGCAAGCATTTAATTCAAATTTCTTTCTTTTGGGGCAAAAGAATGACATTTGAGTACGAAAAAGGTTTAAACATAGCAAAAGTGGAAAAAATGCGAATCATGGAGAAGGAAATGGTGGGCATGCATGGAGAACTGGAAAGATTGCGTGCCGAGGTGTTCAGTGTCGAGAAGAGAGCACATGGTAGCAAGTTTGTTTTTTGAAATCCTCTCAAGTTATTATTTTCTCAAGTTCCAATGTGATCCCTTTAGGCAATAATGCTTGCTGTCTGTGTAGCTCCCTACACGTATGGTGGACCCAACATCAATCCACATACATTCTACCCACCTGCTGTACATGGTAGTGGTGGATATGTTGATAATTATGGAAGACCTGCTGTTCCGATGGGTGCTGGGCCTATATCCCCGGGAATGATCCCGTATGGTGGTTCCATCACTGCAGGTGCTCCTGATGGAGTTGGAGCTGTAGCAGGAGCTGTTACTGGTGCTGCTGGGAATCCTTCATGGACGGGAACATATGATGCCTCGCATGCTCGGAGGTGAATGTATCAGCCAAAACTGGATCCTGGGGTCCCTTCGTATGCAACTTAGTAGAATCTTGTGTTGATGATTTACCAAATACTAGCTTGTAGGCTTGTACTCGTTAGCTCTGAGAATTCCTTGTAAGTTATCGTAACCTGTTTCATGGCTTTAGCCAAATTTTACTACAAGAATTGTAGCATGTTGTTAGCTTCTGTATAATATAGCTTTCCTCTTTTATTGTCCTTTTGCAGTCCAGATATGTTTGTGTAGTTTATTTTGACTTATGTCTCCTCCCTTCTATTCTCCCGCTTGGTCTCCCTCTCTTGGAGTTAGGTTGGGGCATAATAAGGTTTGGGATTGGAAAATAGCAAGGAATATATTAATCACCTTGAAGAAAGTGCTTATCAATCAAGAGACGCCCATGGATGCTGATATTCATGTCATTGAATACTCAGAAGAGATGCAGTCTCTTCAATCCTGTGGTTTTCCTTGCATCTTGTTTCATCCTAGTCTGCACCGTGCATGAATTCAGGATGGGAGGTGGAGAGTTTTGGTTTTGGTAAAGCTTAATAAGGATAATTGGCTTGTGTATGATAAAACAAATTTGTCGCATTGGCACCTAATGGTGGAGGTTTTATAACTGACCACTCCTAATTAGTCAGTGTGATTTGCCTGATGAAACCAAGATTTTGGAGTTCCAGAAATGACAACTTACTACTCCTTAAAAATTCGTGGTATATAAACCAAAACATACTTTTGCCCATATGACAATCAAAGAAGAGCTTGATAGCATGAAAAAAATGGTAACTTCTGCTTTTGTCAGAGGATGACCATAGCATCAAAGATGTTCCCGATTATACACGAAAAAGACGTACAACAAAGTCAAGAACAAAGGATGAAATAGCTTGCAAATCCAAAACCTCATCTAATAACTCTTAGTCAGTTAAAATGAAAGTGCGATTAATTTGCTTTTATGGTATCCTCGAAGTTGCTCCAACATTGTAGAAATAAAAAGCAACAGATGCGAGGCTGAAAGCAGAGCAGCCATGACAATGAGGAAGGTCCCAATGTTCTGCCATTTACCAAGTAATGGTTTGAGAAATCCATCTTTACAGGCTTGGCAGTTGTAGCACAAAATGGTTTCATCATTCTTCCATAGATCACAATCCCTTTCCAATGGGTTAGACGAATCCAGTGTTGAATCTTCTTTCCTCCAGAATGTGGCATTCACGTATTCCATTCCACAGCTTGTTGGCGGCAGACAACAACCAGACTAGACAATTGCGCCAATGTAAAAAATAGTCCAGTGAGTAAATGTAAAATGTAAATAGAGGTGCAATTGTAGAAGTGATATGACCAAAGAAAACACAAATCACTCAAACTAAGCACACTATTTATTGAAAAAAATTCGATCATAATTTTTTTTTTTTTTAAGTTGTTGGTTGAATTAAAGTATCAAACACTGCCTAATAACATGTGTATGAACCATTGAAAAAGAAGTATTCTGCTAATGTAGAATACTAAGCCAATACTAAGCCAATAGCATTCAACATGTTTTTAGGATATGCCATATGCAAAACTAGTGATTTATATTTTACATATACCTATATATATATTCGACCAGCAAAAAAATTCTTTGTCTGTAATGTCTACTCAAGCACACGTATACTATTTCATGTGACATTTTTATTAGCTTAGTACCTCAATCGATGATAATTTGCTTGCTGTGAAGTCAAAGGATTTGGTGGTATAAGACCTTAACGCCAACTCTCTACATGTCGTTGTAGCATACAAGCAGGATTTGATATCCTTCCAATTGTAGTCATTATCCACCCTGAACTCAAGCCATCTAGGAGTACCGGGTATGGTACGAGCTTCCATGTCAAAAGCACCCTCAAGTCCAAGACCAACAATCAGCATCAAAATCAGTGGCACCACAACTAAGAGAAGTCCAAGCATAGGAAACCGGCTTCCAAATTTCACTACAAAGTTGCTCACAAAGAAGACAATTGCTAGACCAATGACAATCACAAGTTGTAACTTTGGCAAGTCAAGAAGGTTTTCACAGTCATATTGTCTCAAGTATAGCAACCAAGCGATTGAAAAGAGGATTGGGAAGGAAAGAAGAAATGAAAGTACGGTTAATGAAAGCACAATAATCTTCATTTTATCTGTTTTAGCTGCCACACTAGTATTAGTAGTGGCAGCAGCAGCAGTGGTGGTAGTATCATCAGGGATTTCTTTAGCTTCTTTTTCTTTGGCTTCATTTTTTGCTTCAGAAATAAGCACTGCAACTTCTTTTTCTTCGGCTTCATTTTTTGCTTCAGGAATAGTCACTGCGACTTCTTTTTCTTTGGCTTCATTTTTTTCTTCTGGAACAGGCACTACAACTTCTTCTGGGGGAGCAGAATTCTCAGCCATGAGCAAATATGCAGTATGGAACAACAATGGTCTTTCCAAGATGGTTTACAAATCAATGAAAGTGGTTTTATGAAGTATTATTACTGGACTCTGTTGAACATTTCTTCCTTTTCTCTCTCTTTTAGCATTTTACTTAGTCAGTCAACGTGCACGAAAGAGGCTGTCTACTATTTTTTAGGTGATGCGAATTCAACTGCAATTTTTCGGGGGTTGAGACATTTTAGGATTGGTAGTTTGGGGATGAGTAAATAAGCATGTCGGGTTTACTCATCATAAAGATATTTGACATGTAATAAAAACTTTTTTTTTACACGTAAACTTTCATGCTTTTATTGATCAGAAGAAAAAAGAGAGAGTGTACAAAAGAAAACTCTGGTTTAGAGACACCTTTGAACTTTTGCATCGGTGGACAGACGTACAGGGTTTCACTAACCTGAACTCCATATCAATTTTTAGAAACAGCAATAACACATCTACTTATGTAGTAGTACCTTGTAATAAAGTATCACTGTCTCGTAATTTGATCATTAGTTGAAGAACATGCTGCTACTTGTTAGCTATCATCTTCTTGTAAACTAAAAGCATTAAAAATTATCGTTAATAGGTTATTTAAGTTCTTTTAAGAGAATGAATAGCAAAAATTGAAATTCTAACAACATAAAACCCAAACTTCCTCTTAAATATGGAGACCTATTAAACGGGGAAAGCCGAAGCCTATCAGAGAAATTTCACCTAAACATGTGGAAGATAGGAATACTCGAAGAGGTATATCATTACAACTTATGAGAAAAAGTATAGAGGTATGATATTTTAAATATATGTGTTATAGGGATTTGGCAAGATTTAAGTAATGAGAATTAGAGCTATTCTACAACAAAAAATTTTTTTTTTTGTGGGAGCAAGAATAAAAGATATGCTACCTAAAATAGACAGTTAATTGATCAGAGAAAGCTGAATTATAAGTTTTCCTCCTAATTTTGCGTTTACCATTATAATTTCCTCATATTTATGTGGTTTATCACTCTTTTACCTTTTTGTTGTTCATCAATTATCAAAAACAATAACTAATCTCCAAATTTTCCCATCCTTATAACTTCATACCAAAAAATCCACACATTAGGAAATTGGCTAAAAAGTCTAGAGTTGTGTATCTCCAACATGCAAAATAAACACGTTTGGTTGATACTTCTAATATATCTTCAATTTTTACCCACGCGTAGTCTTAATTTTTCTTAACCACTTATTCCCTTACATTTAAAATCAGCGCTCATTAGTCCCTACTATATTTGGAGCTAACTGTATTTCAAGAACTATTTTCCTATGCATAAATTGGGAGCAAGAGATTCAATATGACCCGTTTGTCATAGTTTTGAAAATTCTACTTATATACTTGTGACTTAAAAAAAAAAAAAAACTGCCAACCAAGGAATAATGCATAAATCACCTTTGCCTTCTCATTTTCTTTTTGCTCTTTTCCCTAATGATTTACTTTTCTTGAACAAACGCATGAAGAATGCCTTTTCCATTAAATTAAATTAAGTGTATAAGTTGTATACAAGTTAATTATGAGATTGCTCTATTTCTAGTTTGGCATTTCTCTAAATTAAATGACAACTAATTTGTTGTACTGATCTTGCAGTTGTAAGGTATATGTAATCTTATTTTGGGAAAAAAAAAAAAATTTTTACCAGAGCTTTTGTAAGACAGTTGGGGGCTATGTGTCAAAAACTAAAAGGTGAAGGGTGAACAGTAAAAACTAAGAAAATATTAAGGGTTGCAAACTAATCTAAGCTAATTCTACAACTACTAATCACTGAAACAAAACGTGAACAATTTTAGTTTCCAACACTCTCTCCCGCCGACCAGAAGAAAGTGCTCTGTCTCATTTTCACATCATTTTCGATCGATCCCGTCTCGTCAAATGGCTGAGGTAAACTGAAATTAATGAAATTAATCCATTAATTTTTAAGGGATTTTAGTCTATGATTTTCTACCTTTGTTTTATTGTGGTTTCAATTTCGTCTTAATTGATTGCTGATGAGATTATGTACATTATCCTTTTTATGTGATCTGTTAATGATTTGATTCAATTGCCGGTTCTGTACACAATGGACTCATACAACGTGGTTATGTATATATATCCCACTCAGTCAATGTATTTTCTGTTATCTTTGCATGTATTTTATTGGCAGAACATTGTGAAAATATGGTTTAAGTGTGAAGGAAATTCGGGGTGAAAAGCTAGTATAAAACAATGTGCAAGAGATCCAAGAAATGAATGATTTTATGGAGATTTATGGTTGAATTAATCAGTAAAAGGCATTGGTTAATGGGTATTTTAAATTGGGAACTAAAAGAGTGCGGTGTTGGCATTCAGTTTTAACACAGAAGAAATTGGTTTTGAATCTAGTTATAGAACTTATATGGTTCAGAATTAAAGAGGAAAAGCAAATGATGGTTGGCATTCATGCCTACCAGGGGGCAAAGTTGCAGCTATGGTATAGTTGCTTCTAAGATGGGTGTGGTTAGGAATTTCAACAAGATGTTAGCTTTTATGCAATATATGATCGTGGGTTTTCAGCTTCTTGTTGGAAAGATATTCAGTAGATGTTCTTGTTGAAGTGTTATCTTTCAATATCCAGTATTACGTCAAGCAGTGGATTTTTATTTAGTTTTTTCGAGAAAGTTGGAATTTTTGGGATTGGATTGCCATATTGTGCCTTGTCAAGCCTTGGTGAGAGATGAGCCCAAATTTCTTGTTGTCAAGAACCATTTTGGAGTGCTAGGGGTTTAATTTCATGGTAGAATAAATTTCCAATGATTGTAGGGGAAGTATAAATAGACAGCTTCAGAAAAGGTGCAGTGCTTTCTTTTAACGTGAAATGTACTGAATTTTGCTGATATTGAGAGGTATTAAAAAGTGATTGTTGGTATAGCTTTTCTGAAAAGTTTAAACCTAGTGAGGCCTAAAAGCAAAGTATTTGTAAAGAAATACATTGCTATCAAATCTGAACGGACTCTTGTTGAAAGCAAGCAGCTGTATGAAAGGATGATGGAGTTGTTTTTATAACAAAACCATAGAGTTAGTTGGATGTTGTGCACATTTGCTTTTATGTTTTTCTTAGAGAAAAGTTTGTGCCTTTATTTAGTTTGGGTTTCCTTTGATAGTAAATTTATTGAGGAAAGGGAAATGTCCTGCTACGTGGATGTTTGGAATTTGAGATATGATATGGGAAATTACTAAAAGACTTGTTTTCCTTCTTTCTCTTTGTAAACTTTTTAATATTTCTTTCCTTCTTTTCTTTGTGCTCCCCCCCAACGAAAAAAACAAGAAAACCCCATCCACGGGTGCCCCCAATGTTCCATCTGTATAATATATCAAGTCAGGAAGATTTTCTTATGAGTATCCATACATGAAGGGAAGAATTGTGTACTCCTAATGCTGATGGAAAATTGGGTTGTTGTAGCTAATCCCATATTGGTTCTCTATGCTCTCAAAGCTCTGTATTTTAATTGTCATACTTGAAAATGTTTCAGATTACAGGTGAATGTGGGGTTCCATACCAAGAGACAGAATGCCTTCTTTCCCACTTTCTCCAATAGCCAAGCAAGAGCTTTCATAGTTTAAGTTCTCTCATGACTATGAGGATACTAAGCAGATTAAAATTCAAAATCCAGCCTAAAATCCCTATAAGGTGACATAGTTTGGTGTTGACTCCCCCTTCTCTTTTCATGGTGATATAAGGATTGAAGTAGACTTTCTTCTTTAGTACAGACTGAGAGAAGAAATCTACCTTCTTGGAATATTACTCTGGGGATCTCTATATCCTTGCCTGCTCTTTTAAGTTACTGGTTCCGATACCTAGGCTTTATTCATTTCCAGATGGTCTACTTATTAATTATTTGGCCAAATGGTTGCTCATCATAGAGCATGTTGGTTGTGGTTTATATTTGTTAATTTTTTTTAGCCAAATAGTTGTTTATAGAAAGAGAACGTAAATTGTGGTTTACTTTTCTTGACTCAATTGTAAAATGTTTTCTTTATCTAGTCTTGTTGACAGCTAAAGGGAGCCATAGCTGGCCCTTTGTGTAAATGCACTTTTATTTCTAGTCCTTTGGGCCAAATAGTATCTCATTTCACAGTGTGTGAGGTGCTTATCTCATGTCAGAGTGTGTGAGGTCTGCTGCTAAAGTATTTTTCATTTGCCACAATAGACACAAACAATTTTTCTTTCGTCTGACCTTTAATGCCTGAGGGCCTGTCCTTTAGCCTCAAGAGTGAATTTTTTTTCCTTCTTTTTGATTTCAGAATAGAACTGTCATATGCAGGAATTAGGTTTTCTTGAGGTTGTGATTTTATTGATTCATTCTTTGAAAGTTGCCTGTTCAAAAAATTCTTTCTTTATCAATTGGACATTCTTATTCAAAAAAGCATGGAAGTGCATCCAGTTTTGTTGAAAGCCTTAGTTCTGAACACGCTTAATGTCTTCTATCTCATGATTATGATGTGTTGAAATTTTAATTCTGAGAAAAGATGTTTTATCTGTGCCTAGGCTAGAGCTTCTTAGCATGCAAAGCATGATTTAGCTCATAATTACAATCGGGTCAAAACTATGTATTCTTGCTGTGGATGTCTCCTGCCTCGAAACTATTGGAATTCTGGTAGGATATGATGTCTTGGGAAATATTACAATGAAATCTAAGCATGATGGAGGAGAACGCCGTCTTAAGTGGAAACATGCTTATTCAATATTTTAACTATTAAGTAACTTGTTAAAATACTTTTCTTGTTCACCTTTTTTCTAAAGTGACAATGTTTGCTTCTCTGAACTTTTGATAGTTTTCCTTTTCATTTTATGTAGTGAATTAAGTGTGTGATTTATGATGAGAAAGCGGAAGACGCAATTTAGTGTTGAACAGTTGTCTTACACTCTTCTTAGTAATATTTGTATGCTAATATTGTCAGATTGAACTGAAGACTGCACCAGCTGACTTCCGATTCCCAACAACTAATCAAACTAGACACTGTTTCACACGCTACATTGAGTTCCACAGGTAATGGTCTATCAGTTTTGGCTGCATGAGGCATCTCTGGGTATTGGACTAGTTACACACCAGTGGTTGTTGAATAATATGCCATAAAACCAATTATCTTAAAAGGACATGCTCTGTCAGTTGTGGCTGCATAAGGCTTTTCTGGTCATTGGACTTTGTTACATATGAGTGGCTGTTGATTGCTTAATAGTGTGTCATAGAAACCAATTTTTTTTCTGTGTCATGGAACAACTCCGGTAAAACCATTGAACTTACGTAGTTTTGATTGATGAACTTATCTTGCATTTTAGGTGTCTTGAGACGGTATTAATGCCCCTATGTTGGTTTAGTTAGCCAAATTCAAAATTCGGCAATGGTAGAAGTTTTTTTCAAATGCATGGGTGATTTTTTTTTTTTTTTTTGTTAGATTAAAGGTGGCAAACAGAAATCGCATCATAACTTGGTACTCATCTTAAGCCAGTTGATTGTTCTTATAAGTATTGTAATGTGTAGTTTTGATTCTAGCCCTCAGTTGTTGAAAGAGAAATCTTAAGTTAGTTTTGTGTTTGTTAAGAAGGTGTAGGCTGAAACCTTTAGGCAAATATCTTTTGAAAGTGCCTGATTAAGTTAAAATATTTTTACTTGACTAGATTACTACTCCCTAACATTTTAAATCTAGAAGCTCATGAATAGGGTTTGATGTTTGGGGGGGAAAAAGAAAAGAGTGAGTACAGAAATATTTATCTTGGTACTCAAGATGATTTTCTATCGGTTGAATATGTAATTGATATAGGTTTTACTCTTGCCTGGTTTTCTCTTTAGAGCACAGTAAAGCTTTTGTTGGTCTATCATAATGATTTGGTTTACACAGATTCAACACTTTTTTGGATTTCAGGTGCTTGGCTGCCAAGGGTGATGATTCTGGAGAATGTGAAAAATTTGCCAAGTACTATAGGTCCCTCTGTCCTGGTGAATGGGTAAGTAAGTATATATATATATATATATATATATGTAGAATTGCTTTTACCTGTTGAATGTTGGTATTGATTGTCATAGGCTTGGGGGACAGCAGTCCTCTTCAAAAGGTCAGATATGAGCACTGTTGTCCTCATAAAAAGTCCCATTTCATGTGTGATTCTGCTTGAGATGGCATTGCAATTGGAAACTATTGCTCCTTTATGTTACACGGGAATTGGGTGGTGACATGACATCATAGTTAAAACTTAATCGTTATTAACAAAAACAGCTATGGTTTTTCTTTTATGTTTGACTATCTGTTTTAGTTCCTTTCGGAGTAAGTTTTGGATTGTGAGCTTGAAGTTGCTTGCAACTCTCATGTGAATTTCTGTGCAGCCCGTTTTATCTTCTTGACACCTCTAGTAATGGCGTATGGAAAACCTCTAGTTGTTTGAGGGAGATATATTAAATGGCTGATGGGGATGGCCTTTTTGAATTACCAAGTGGTACAACACCAAATCTTTTATTGGCTTTCCAGCGTTCCCACTTTTTATGTTTATTATATTATATAAACGTCTTTGACTACTATTTTACCATATGCAATAGGATGATAACATTCTACCATTTTACCATAGTTTTGAATGCATTCTAACTAGTTTCTGCTACATTTCTACAGGTTGAGAGATGGAACGAGCAGAGGGAGAATGGGACTTTCCCAGGGCCCCTTTGATTTTGAAACTGCTTTAGGTCTTCATGTCTCTGCATTGGGAGCTGAGTTTTGCATGGTCTTTTGTCTGATGCTGATCTGTGGGTTTTTGTTTCAGCGTTATGGATCAATAAGGTAGTGTATTTATTTCCAATGTACAACAACTGTAAACTTGAGAAGCGTGCTTGTGTTGCAAGTACTGATTCATTCATAAAAAACACGTAACCGTTGCTGCAATTATTATATTCAGTACAAACAAAGTGCAATCACACACACACACACACATATATATATATATATATATATATTTATTTATTTATTTTTTTTTTGATTGTTGACCCCAAAATTAGGGATAATAAATAACTTATGCCTTTTTAATTGGCTAAAACGTCTGACACACATAATGAACAATAAAATATTATTTAGTAATTCTTATATCCGTCAACCAATTTGAGGAAATAATAATAATAAAAATAAAAAGGGAAATTTCCTATCTTCCTTTGAATCGGTCCATGATGCTTATATTGATTTACATTAGTTGAGGATTTATGAAGCTAAGTATTAAAATATTTCTTAAAATGGACTAAAAATGAAGAAGGGCTCAGTCTATTATTATTATTAGTATTAAAAAGTTTGGTTTAAATTACGCGTTATTGATGGTTCAGGTTTAAGCAAAAGCGACATGTGTTGGTCAATTCAACCATTACTTACTTACAACTCACTCTTTTTGGTGTATCTGCTCAATGCTCCAAGAAAGAAAGAAAGGGTTGGTACGAAAATTCCGAGAACAGATTTACAAATAAAAAAAAGGGGCAAAAGGTTTGGATGGCAGCAAGATTGTGAAGCTAACTCCCCGAGACTATAAAGAAGCCTCTTAACGTGTGATAAGGAATTTGAGTAAACAAACGGACGAAAGAGAGTTGATTGGCTTTAAGTAACTATCATCCTCTGCCTCTGCCTTTGGAATATTCCAAGTAAGCTCATCATACTCATTTATTATAGTACTTATTACTAAACGATGGACACGGCGCGCGGGACTCGCCTGATTTCAAGTTATAAGTCGGCGTCCAATTTCTCAAATAGGAGAAAAACAAGAAAAAATATATATATATATATGGCTACAAACAATTATTTCTTCTTTAAACAATTTCTTTTTCTTTCTTTTGGAGGACCTACTTTGATACTAATCTTTGGGAAATTGTATGGTCCCTTCGTGGAACCATTTCTTCAATTTCTATTCCTTAATGATAATAGCAGTTGAAATTTTAAAGTTGTGAAATTATAGAAATTTAACATCACTTATTTCACATTTAATGCTAAATTTAACTTGTGTGTGTGATCTTGTAGAATCTCTCCTATTTAAAATCAACTTCCAATGACTAGGAATATTTGTTTGACATAATTTTAAATTACCTTTTTATCTCGTACATCACAATGTTAGAATATATATATATTTTTTTTTCTTCAAAAATTTTAAAAATTGCAATCTAAGTGAGACCAAAATTAATCCAATCAAGAAGGTATTAGGCAATTAAAGTATAAAGACTCCTTTTTTTAAAAAAAAAATGAAGTGGATATTTGAATTTGTATCATAAATTGCATTGAGTCAGTCAGCATTGAATATTAGTCTCAAAGATTAAGTGACCAGAAGATTTTGGATATATTCTTTTTTTGCAAAAAAAAAAAAAAAGATTTTTTTCACATGCATAATTAGGGGTGTAAACTAGTCTAATCAAACTGAACACCCTAGTATTCAAGTTTGTTTGATTATTTTAATGAATTTAAAATTTTATGCAAATTTGACTTATTTATTTTGCCAAATCGAGTTTGAACTAATTTTTTTATCGAATTTAAATGTTGGCGAATATAAAATGCTGTTCAATCTTAACTTGACTAGTTGGCGATCCAAATTTGAATGAGTTCTTAATAAGTCAAATTTGATTCAAATATCATGTAATTTGGTTTATTTTTCAATCCTATGCATAATAAACATTGTTTTTCTTTTTTTTTTTTCTAAAAAAAAATCTTTCTAACCATTTTTTAATCATAAAATACATCACATCATAAAGACTTCTTCTTCTTCTTTTTTTTAATCCAAACACTCGTAACAAGAGTATTTTTCAATCATCTTCCATCGAGACAATAATGGTTGGGGTAAAAGGGGAGGGACATTTAAAATTAAAGATTTTGGAAATCTTCTAATGTTCCTGTTCTTGATCAAAAGTCACATCATCCTTCAAGATAAGTTACTAGCCAAAACGATCAAGTCTACCATAGCGTCAAAACTTTTTATTGTTACATTTTTGGCTTCTAATGGGCTCAAAAAAGATAAAGAAAAAGAAAAACACTTTTTGGCATTGCTAGTCTGGTCCCACGCTTTCCCATCCGTTTCGATTCCTTGTTGCGATTGTCCAATTAATTCACACGGCGAGTACGACGTGTCACACGTGGCGCACTGGGCTTATCGCTTGACGCTGAAATTTTTTCGGAAACGGCCACACGTCTCCGAAACTCCTTAGCAAATTCCAGACCAGCTCAACCTCCACGAGTTTCACATTTCCCCATACAGATTTTGGGACCCCAACATTTTGGGTTTTCTTACCTTAGTCTCTCATCTTCTCCATTTTTGTCAATTTAAACCTACAAACAATTGTAGCTATTGAAACACAGGGGACTACATCTTTCAGCTTTGAATTAGAGAGATACCATACCACTTCCTTCCTTCCTACTCTTAAATATGTGTAAGCATCTAAATTGGATTAATTTTTTTATTGATTGTGAACATATATATATATATATATATATGCTTGTGTAGATTGCATAATAATTAATCACAATTGATCATTCGCTCCTGCTAATATAGATACTCCATTTGAGTCAAGACTAATCCATCTAAATTCTTTTGACCAAACAAAAAGTTGTACTACTAATAATTTACACAAAATGTTCTTTGACTCTACAAACAAAAAAATATGCAAACAAAAAGTAAAAATTAGAATCAATTTATGAAAGATGACATAAATTTATGTGAAATTAAATCTTAGTTAATTCAATCATCATATATATAGTAAAATGAATGCTAATGAATCTATTACACGCAATAGGGTACTGCGTGATACATGGGCTAGAATGATAACTTAGAGGACTAAGAATGCAATTAAACGGCCCGTCTTCACCAGTATTATATAACCACCCTTACCCTTTGTTCCATTCATCATATCTTCCTTTTTATTTTCCAGATTCTCGCTTTCTTAGCTCCAACCCAGATCAATTTTCCATCGGATCCTACTATAAAACTGGTAAAACTGTTCACCGTTAACTAGGTTCGTTCACCATTAAGAAGCACATAACTATTGGAGTTTAATCACCCCTTTTGCTTCTTGGCTTCTTGAGAAGTTACTGATATTTTTGGTTCGTTTTCAAGAATACCAGAGAAAATGCCACGTTGCAGCAACAGTTTGCTTGGGATACTGAATTTTCTGACGCTGTTGTTGTCAATCCCAATAATTGCAGGTGGGATTTGGCTAGCAAAGCAGTCCAATACTGAATGTGAACGTTTTCTTGAAAAGCCAGTGATAGTATTGGGGGCGTTTCTGCTGTTGGTTTCATTGGCAGGACTCATTGGATCATGTTGCAGAGTTTCATGGCTTCTTTGGGTGTACCTTTTGGTCATGTTTCTGTTGATTGTGCTCCTCTTTTGCTTCACAATCTTTGCGTTTGTGGTTACAAATAAAGGTGCTGGTGAGGCCCTTGCAGGTAAGGGGTATAAGGAGTACAGGCTTGGGGATTACAACACTTGGTTGCAGAAAAGGGTGAACAAAAATTGGCCCAGGATTAGAAGTTGTCTTCAGGACTCACAGATCTGCAAGCACCTGATTGAACAAGGTGCCACTCCTTTAGGACAATTTAACAAGGAAACGCTTTCTGCTCTTCAGGTATGTACAGATTCATAAGTATTGCATCTTTTGTTGCTCTCCATACCTGCATGGTTGTCATTCTTTTTTCTTTTTGAGCTAAAACTTGAGTTTTTCACTTGAGGGGAGAAGGGGTTTTCTGTTTTTGCTGCCTCGCTCTAGATCTGGATACTCAATTGGAAGATATCTTTAGGGGCTGGGACTGTGTGTCAGTAGTTTGTTCTTGTTGGTATAGTAATTTTACTTTTTTAAGTTTCTTGAGAAAGGGTATTGATCTTCACTTGGAATCACTAACTGCCATGGATCTGTTATATTTGAATGATGGTTATTGAGTAGTTTCCTAAAGTTGAGAGACTTGACTAGAATCTCGACTTAAAATGTTCTGCTTTTTGTCTGAGACAGATTGGTGATGCTGCTTGTATATATTTCTTGTTGCAAAAAGTGGTGTGGTGCATAAAGTGGTGCCTTTAAGAATAATGATATATCAATTTACTTGACCCTATTGCTTATTCTGTCAATTTTTGTTTTGCTATTATACATGTTCAAACAAGTATCTCCAGAGGAGAATAATGGCATTCAACTTGTTGCTGTAAAATCATAAATTGTCCTGCTTTGGATTGATTGCATTTTCCATTTTTGAATTGGAAGCATGTTTTTAATACATTTGACACATTGTTGAACTGCTAGGTTGTTATAAACTAAGATGTTCCTTTTGTGATTTTGAGAATCGTCTCCTGGTTGATGTACTAGTTGCACGCCTCAAATTTCTGTGAAAGAATCTGTAAAATTTTCAGCTTCTGTGCCTAAACTCGATGTCTTGGAAAGGTTCTTCACAGATATATGACTAGATTGAAATTAGTTCATTTGCAGTTAAATCGTTTTTATGTTGTCTCTCTCATTCTCTGTTCATTTACTCTTGCCAGTCTGGATGCTGCAAGCCACCAGATGAGTGCAAATTCACCTATGTCACCCCAACCAACTGGACAGGAACAGCAGGGTCTACTAATCCAGACTGCACGGCTTGGAGTAATGATCAGAAAGTTCTATGCTACAACTGCCAATCATGCAAGGCTGGTCTGCTGGACAATATCAAGAGTGATTGGAAGAAGGAGGCCATTCTGAATATTATAGTGCTGGTCTTCCTCATCATAGTATACTCTATAGGATGCTGCGCATTCAGAAACAACAGGGAGGATAATGCATGGAAGCGCTACCCTTGAGCGATCAAGCTCATATCTGAGTAGATATTAGAGTTTGGATTGAAACTGGTTTTCTAATAATGTATGCAATACAACTTCCTACCTATTTGTTAGTTGCTTCTATGTATAGCTTGA